TATATATGTATATTTGGAGGTGGTAGGATATCATACACCTATCTAGGGATTTAATCTCTCCCACCAAAATTTACAGACCCTCAAATGCACAAAATACACAATTTCAAGGAGTTCCCTGAGATTAAGGAATCTGTGATAGAGATAGCCCTAAAAACAGACTTTTTCTATTTCAATTAAACTGGCTTAAGTTGTATATGAAGATTTTAAAATAAGAGATTCACTGGTTTATAGTGATTTAGCTCTTCAAGAGCTAGCAGAACTCTTGCTTGCCCATCTTCCCATTTTGGAGGTGGTCGAGGAGGCAGAGAAAATTGGTAAACTCCCACAGCTAGTCAGGTGCAGAGCGGGTTCTCAAACTCCATTTCCCTGCCCCACAGAGCGGTGCACCTTCCTCTGCCCCAGACAGAAGCCACACACGGCAGCTACTCATGACTTATACAGCAGACTGTGAGACAGGGACGACTTGGGCAGGCCTCTACCAGGGGTCCTTATGAAGAGGAGAGATTGTCCTTGGTCCTGGGGGGCTCATGTACTGATCTGTCTGGAGATAGGGTCTGGGCCAGATGATCTTTTGAGGTCTTCTAGTTCCAGGTGGTCAGCTTCCTTTGCTGGATAGAGAGGCCTCTGAAGGCAACCATGCTGCCCCTTCTCCAATGCACTGTCCACAGCGGTGGTGGGAGTGGGGTCTCATACACTCAGCTCCCACCATCCTCCTATATCTTTAAGTCTAGGATGATGGTGCTTCTCTTGAACTGCTTTACTCCCAAGGGGAAGTGGGAGGAGGAAGAGAACGCCAGCAGGTTGGCAGAAAGCTGGTGATTATCACAAAGACAGGGATGTAGGAGGGAAAGAGTGGGGCAGAAGGAAGAGCAAGTTTTGAGTCCACATTTTGATTGTGGTGGCCCATTTCCCACTTCCCTGGGCATTAATTTCACCACCTCTTGAACAGCCAGCAACACACCATTGAATTTGTAGAGGCTGTGTCTACATAATCACAGTAACCAGCTGCAATGTGAAAACTTAGCCTATCTGACATTTTCCTATAGTGGCAAAAGGCCAGGAAGAAAAAGAGCAAGTCTGAGATACAGATGTGGTTTATAGTTGTTACAAAAGAGGACAGTTTGTTACCTAAATGAGAACTTATGTCTTGATTCACGTGTCAGGATGTGGAAGGGATTATTGAGCCAGAATGAGGGGTTCAAAACGCTTGTGGATTTCAGACACGTTGTCATTTAGCAGCATCTTTCACGAAAGCAAAATGAACATCCCATCATAAGGCAAACAGGTATTAGCCTTAACAGGAGCCATGTACCCCACTAAGCACCTTGCTCATGGTCCTTTCCCTGCTGCTCCTTTCCTCCCTTCCCTGGAGATGCCTTTTAACCCCTCTGGCTGATATCTGACCCAGAGAAATGACCATTTGTTTAGGTGTCATGAGGATACAGACGATATTTCATTTTCTTGGTACTCCCTGGGGCAAAGCCAAGCACAGAGCTCTGACTCACTCGAGGCTCAGGGAAGAAGAACCTTTTCATTATCCATCTGATTACATTAGAAACCTCTGATGTTACAAACTCCCATTTTTGTGAGCCCTCTAGGAGAAGCTGCCACTGAGTTTGACCTGTGGGGAGACCAAGGCTGTGGGAGATTCAGAGATCTGTTTAGAGGACCTGTGGGAGATCTGTCATCTGTGATCATGCAGCTTTGCATGGTATTCGCTCTCTCCAGTTTTCAATTCAACCAGCCGTATACAGGAGCATCTACTCTGTGTAAGGGACCATGCTAGGTGCTGCGGGCAAATCAAAGGTGAATTAAATCAAGCAAACAATAACCTAGCACTGAGCTAGGCGCCATGGGATGATGTTGGTAAAGTGCCCTTCAGAGAGTACCTACTATGTGGCAGGCACTGTTTTAGGTACTCTATGTGCACTTACTTAAATCTTTACAACAATGCAAGGTAGGAATTATTCCCATTTTACATATGAGGAAACTGAGGTTCAGAGAGGTTCTGTGACATGGCCAAGCCCATTCAATGAGTAAGCAGCGTTGGTATTCAAAGCATTATTGTCTGGCTCCAAAGCTTGCATCCTTCTCTCTGCAAGAGACTGAGATTAAGGGGGAAAAAAAAAAAAAAGGCAGCAGAAGTTTCAGTGTTAGCCCTGAAATTACAGTAGAAGGAAATTACAGTAGAAGACAGAATGTGATCAGGTTCCCGAGCGAGGCAGAGGTCAGGGAAGGGACGGCACGGCAGAGCTGTCTGGGTGAGAAGGTTCTGCAGACGAGCTCCCTGGGTCAGGCTTTCTTGCCTCCCGGGCCAGCACTCAGTCTGCTGAAGATTTGAGAGCCAACTTGGAGTCTAATTCTGCTTCCCTTACTTAATAGCTGCTAATGTGACCTTGGGCAGGATAGTAAAGTGACTAAGAGTCTGAACACTGGCATCAAACAGACCTGGGTTTATGTCCCACGTCCGCTAATTTATTACCTGTATGTCCTTGGGCAAGTCACTTAACAACTCTGAGCTGTGGTTTCCTCATCTGTGAAATGAAGATCATAACAGTGCCTACCTCAGAGCGCTGAGGTGAGGATTACATGTGATAATGTGTGTAAAGTGCCTAGCACAGAGTAATAGTGAAAATATCAGCACTTAA